AAAAAAAGCTAGTCTAACTACACAAAACTACTACAATCTTCCCAAGAACTACATTACAAATGGCCTAAATGGATATTTGATTTCATTTTGGCAAAGAAAACACTAATAAGTTCAAAAGGGTATCTATAGTTTTAAAAAAGATAACTAAGTTATAGTGTAGTTAGTAGTTACAATCAGTCCTCAAGGATAGTATCAGTAATTATCCCAAAAAGATGATCTTTATTGGGAGATTAAATGGGCAATCTAGAAGATAAGATGAAACACTATTGGAGGTCCCATTTCAAAGGAGGATTTTCATAAATGGCCCAAGCATAAAAGTGTTGTTACATTACATGCTAAAACATTATCACATATTTTTCCTATCTTTATCTTTAGTTCACAAAAGGTAGTAGTAAACGCTTATCCTTGCTACAATATAAAAACAAAGAAGACAATAAGACATAATAAGTAAAAAGAAGAAGGCAACTTATGGGATTATGATCATTTTAATTCCTCAAAAATGAAGCCTTGACGCGTAAAATAACTCACTTGGTGCGAAGAAGTTTCATGCGAAAGTGAAAATATTTGCAATAATAAATTCTGCCTCGGTTATCAATCCTATAAAAGCCATAACATCGGTTATCAAGCAAAAAGTGTTACATACATGCTAAACTATTATCACCTATATTTCCTATTATTAGTTCACATAAGGTAGTAGTAAACACTTATCCTTGCTACAATACAAAAAACAAAGAAGATAATAAGATATAACAAGTAAAACGAAGAAGGCATGCAATTTATGAAATTATGATCATTTTAATCCTCAAAAATGATGCATTAATGCCTAAAATAACTCACTTGGTGTGATACAAAAGTGAAATATTTGCAATAATAAATAGTGTATCGGTCTTCAATTCTATAAAAGCCATAACATAAGGCCTCATACATTCATAAAAAGGAAAACAAACGAAGAAGAATAATATTTTTCAGATAAGAATATATTTACCTACGCCTCTTGCAGCCTTTTTTTCCTCAATCGAATCTTTCAGATTCTGCGCGAGCTCAAGTGCGGATTTGAACTCCGCGAACGCCTTTTCTGGTTCTTGATTTCTTAAGAATCTTTTCCCGTTTTTGAGACGGGATATTAAATCGGGCTTTCTGGGGTCAACAATCACTTCATCCTCTGTAAGCTTGCCACTAACCGGAGCATAACTCAAACTCGGGGCATATGATTCGATCTTAGCTTGCCTTCTTAGTGACTCGTTGATCTGTCTAAGTTGTTCGTTCAGTTGCTGCAGTTCTCCTTTCCTCTTTCGTGCAACAAGTCCTTTATTATGGAGATTTGATAAAAATAAAAAGAAATAAATAAATTGTACATGTCAGGAAATCAAGACAATATTTTCTTGCAACATTTTGATGGGTGGGATTGATACATTTTCTAATATTTCCACTAGAGAATCAATTTTTGTCACAAAATTGCTTGTGAAATTGTCTAAAAATAGTTATGTAGTCTAATTTTCCAGCCATCAATCACATTGAATGATAATTTCAGTGATAAAAAACACATCAACCTTCGTACAAAGTTTTGCAGCTGACAAACATTACCACGATTATAGCAAGAACTCGTGAAGGGAGATGTTAAATCAACGGGTTAAAATAAGATACTTTTTGTTCTAATAATTACTTAGTAAAGCATCTGAATGCATTTTTCAGTAGAAAAAAAATTACCTCCAACTGTAGCTCCAATTAGAGCAACAAAGAGTAACAATGGCATGTTCATATTCAAAATTGAATTGTCAGCTTCGCATGTTTCCGCAAGTACTAGAAGAGGTTTATGGAACATTATTGCATGGGCAGCTAAGACCGCTAATGGAAATCTTGATATCATTCTCTCCTGCAGAGTAAGCGAANTGAAATAATAGTTCAACAACGAGCAGTAAATGGAAAGCTCAGTAATTTACCAATTTTTGGGAAAATAATGAAATGAAGGTTAACTACAAAAGGTGCCTGTGAGGTTCGATACTATTATAAAAAGCCCTGCTACTTACCGAAAAATTACAAGAAAAACCCAATTATATTAGTATCAAAATCACATCTCAAGTGAAACTTATTTTTCGAGTAAATATACAGTCACAGCCGGTGTTTTCTACTGACATAAGGGGTATCTAACATAATTTTTTACGGTATCCAACAAAATTTTTACTCAACAATGTGACATGATTCTGATTTTAGTGTTAGTATTTGAAGCTATCTAAACTGTAATATGCATCTAATTGACTAAGTAATTGTAGAACTTTCTGTGGTTTTCCATTGAGCTCATTTACATGTTTATTTCTTGATCTTTTGTGGTTGCAAAAAAAGCTATCGTCAACCAAAATAAACTCAACAACTTATGCTACACAACAAAAAGGTTACATTTGCAGATTGCAAAGAGAAAGTGAAAAACTACCCCAAAAGCTAAAAGGGTCAACTCAAAAGCCACAAGAAATTTTCACAAATTAAGATATAAGCCAAGTCAACATATGATTTTCACAAATTAAGATATAAGCCAAGTCAACATATTTCTCCACAACAGCTAACTAAAACCCAACTAGCCAACACAAGCAAACTGAACAACATAGACAAAACAAAACAAGAAATTATAAATTAACCAGTATCAATTCACCAAAAGATTCGATTTTGGAACACACTCGTGTACAAATAGGAAAACTGGAACCTTATCCAACATTTAAAAAAATTCACCTTGAAGTTAAAAATGCACAGTGAACTTTGCTGCGATTCTCCATTTTTGCTGTCTTTTCTCATACAACTGATGATATTGCTGGCATTTTGGCTTGTGCCCTTGAGCCCAGCAAAAATTGCGAAGAAAGGAGAAGTGGGTTTGAGAAATTTTCGTGTTTTAAGAGATGAAATGGGAAAATTTGAGAGAAAGTTAGGATCAGGCGAGCTCCATGACCGAAAACCCTGCTTCACCACCATCGTCATCTTCTTCAATTCTTATCCTCTTTCCTCAGTTTCTCAATATCGAGATTTCTTTACTTGTTTCCTTGTTTGGCCGTTTATGTTCTTCTGGGTTTTGGATAAACTAGTGTGTACCCGTGCGATGCACGGTAACAATATTACATTAACAATATTATAAATATACCTCAAGTTTGAGTTATTCAATGGCGAAAGTGGAAACTACTATTGATCCTATTTAAAAAGGAGAAGAAAAAATAATAATTATATATTAAAGTGTCGGGGTCAGACAATGTAAAATTATTTTGTATAAGAGAATATAAATTTTACACTATTTTGTATAATAGAATATAAAATTTGTATATTTAATATTGAAAACACCTAAAATATTATATTAGTATATGTAAAAGTATTCAAAATTTTCTATATTATTTTTAAAAGATATAAGTCACCTACAACTTTTCTAAACAATTTTAAAAAGAAAACATATCTAAAAACATTTGAATTTAACATTATGTAAAAAAAAATTTCTAGACTATTTTGCAAAATAAAGCATGTCTACAAATAATTGAATTTAACATCAATTATGTATATGTGTATATATAGACGAATATGTAAAAAATAAATATCTAAACAATTTGTTTAAAGTAACTAAAATATTATAAGGCTAATTTAATAAACACCTTCGGTCAAAAAAAAGGAAAAAAAAAACCAAATATATACACATTAAATCAAATATAATGTTTCGAAATTTCTGCCTAAAAAGTTTAAATGAAAAGGGAAATAAATCAACACAATATCTATTATTTTGTTAACCTAAAAATAGGAAAAAGGGAACCATCACAAAAACTATGGCATGTATTATTTTGTTAACCTAACAAAATAGGAAAAAGAAAAACATCACAAAAACCAGCGCCGTTTTTTTGTTAACACTATATCACTATTTATTTAATGATTTTAGAGGGAAAATAATGATTTTAGCGGGTATTTAATGATTTTAGAGGAAAAATAATGATTTCGGCGTGTATTTAATGATTTTGGAGGGAAAATAATGATTTTGGCTGGAAATCATAAAAAAGTTATTCTTTTAATATAATGATAGATTATTATTATTATTATTATATTAAAAAATAAAGTGGAAGTGAACAATGTTGAAAGAAAATTTTTTCGAGGTTTTTTAATCATTTTTTATGATTTTTTTTTTCTACATATTGTATTTGCTACAATCCACTCTCATTGGTTGTTTTATTTTTCGTCTTAAAACTAAATTTACTATCAAAGTTTGTTATACACATAAAATGGTGTTGTAGTGTGGTGAAAAAAAGTTTTTTAGAGGCATTTGTTTATATTAGTTATGAGTTTTTATATATTTACATTTTCAGGTGTAAGTTGTACCTAAACTTTTAGTCGTTCTTTTTTTTGTATCAAAATTATTTTTTTATTATCAAAGTTCGTTATATATATAAAATGGTGGTGTATTATGGTGAAATAAAGTTTTCTAGGGGCTTTTTTACCATCATATGTGAATTTTTTATTCTTTTTGCATTTTTACGTTTAAAGCTGTACGCAAACATTTATCGTATCAAAACTAAAATTTTAATATCAGAGTTTGTTATATACATAAAATGATGGTGTATTGTGGTGAAAGAAAGTTTTAGAGACATTCTGTACCATTATTTACGATTTTTTATTTTATTTTTTGCATTTTCGTATGTAAATATATACGTGAGCCTTTTGATTGTCCGAAAACTAAATTTTTCACCACCGCGTTCGGCGCGGTGGTAGCCTGAGAAGTGTGGTGAGTAGCCTTTTGAACCGCTCCGGCCGCCACGGCATTTGCGATCATCTGCTCCAACTTGCTACACCATCGTCTTTTTTTGTGAAAGTCGAACGATTTTGAATAAAAAATATATCTGTTTGAGAGTTTTCTCTTAATCTTTTCTCATTAGTGCTACATCATTGAGTCGCCTAAGCGAACTCCTTGACAAGGTCGCATATTGAGCACGAGTTCATGACCTTTGAATGACTATACACAAATCAACCACTCGAGCCGGTCCACCGAACTGTTTCGAATCCCGATTTAATATCAGTTTGAANTAAAAAAAAAAAAAAAGAAAAATGCTTGAAGTATAAGTTTTTTATTATAGCATTATAACGCGTGTCCTCTCCTGAAAAATGTGTTGATCAGATGGCGATTCCATCGTGAGACACCTTGCTCCCTAATAAGTCTTTTCAATTTTTGTTTATTTGATTATTTATTTTTCTTCTCTATTATCCCTTGTACGTGTAAAGAAAAAAGGCTATTCATTATTAATTATTTGTCTAATTGTTCCAACAATTACTCATATGCAAAAATATTATTAATATTACAAGTTAAATGTATGCCTATAAATTATAAGTTAGATATATCATTAGGAAAACTAAACAATATAAATGTTTTAATGAATCACTATATTAATTGTATAAAATATTAAGAATAATGTAATTTTTATAATTTTAAAGAATTATGACTAATTAATTAACTACAAAAGTATTAAAATTATTACTATAACAATTATTTATGCTATTAAAGAGGTTTAACTATCTCATTGAACGAATTAGCATATTATTATCTTAAAAAAAACAATTGCTTGATAAGATGCAAAAAAATAATATTTGCTTTAATAGTAATAAATTTAAAAATCTGCAATACAATTTTTTATACTATGAAACTTCTATGTATCAATTAGTATAAAATATAATTAGTTAATTATAATAGTAACTATTATATAATGACATTATTAAAAATATTACTTTCACTTAATTGATATAAAATATAACGATTTCCTATCATAATTAACCAAAATTTTTTAAAAACGAAAAAGCTAATCATAATTTTTTTTTCAAACGGTAAAAATATTTATAAGTTGAAAGCTTAAAAGAGTACAACTTAATATCAACTGACACGGCTGACACCAGAACGAGGTCTAGACCAACCCCCTTGTAAGCACACATAATGTAGTACAAATTTCATCTAAAAGACGAACACCCGCAATATAAAACTCAACACTAACTCCATTAAAGAGACTAAACTAAACAAACGTTGGACTAAAAAAATAAATAAAATAAAATAAAATAAAATAAACAAGTAAAATAAGACCTGTAACTCTAGAATTTAGGAGAGAGAATATGTTTTTTCATTGGTGCTTTTTTATTGTCTAATCCATAATTCTTTTTCCTACAATTATAAATTTAGCCTCTTCATGACCGTGTGCCCCAAAACTTAAGGCGGTTATATTAAGCTAACAACAATAAAATATACATTTATCACTAGAATAATATTACAAACTTGAAATGACAAACTTCTCCCCCAAAAGGTCGGTTAAACACGAAAACCCCACAAAAGACACTACGAGGGCAAAACTGTCATTTTAACTAAACAAATCGCCTCACCCCCATTGGTCAGAAATTCCTGGTCCATTCCACAATTTCCCTTTTCACTATATATACACAAGGAAACATATACACTCAACAAAAAAAAAAAAAATAATAATAATAATAAATAAAAATAGAGAAATACCTCGAAGATGAATTCCGGCCTGACGGAACTAGAAATGGGCGCCGTTTTGGAGCTGATCCAGCTCGGCGGCGGCGGCTTCCCCGTCCTATGGGTCGATTATCCGGCGGAAAAGGATGGGTTGAGNGTTTTATTGGGAGGGAAATAAATTTCGATTTCTAGAATGTTTCTCAACCATGTAAATTGTAATAATTTATAGACTTCATTTGGTGCTTTGAGTAGTCTTAAATATGTGATAGAAAGGTTTTGGTTTTCTTGGGTGATATGAATATATGCAATAATTATGGTAATTAACTGTAATAATAATAATAATAATAATACCTGTGTTCTCTACTTCTTTTACTTGCCTTGTTCTGATTGCTGGATGATTTTTGGTTCCTAATTGTGCAATTTTTCGTTCCTAATTGTTCAGTTCTTATTGTTCTATATATGTATATATATATATATATATCATATAGCATATGTGTGTAAATATATGTATTTCATGTACATATATAAGGTATGTATGTGTACGTAAGTAGTGATAAAAGTTAATCAAAGTACATATGCATACATATATAGATATATTAATGATAGAACAAATAACTACAATGCACACATAAGCATTACAATTAGTTAATCAACTATCTAATGATGACAAATAACTATATTGTATGCATGATTATGAATTTAATTGCCCATTTTTATTAATTGTACTCCATGACTTTAAGTAATATTGAGTCCTCTTATTTTTGATTTGATCGATCGAGTATTATACTTAATTTTGAGTATATTAATCTCAAATTATATAAGAAATGAATTATATAAGCGTGATCCTATTTTAAGCGCGTGTATATATATATATATATTTTGTAGTCATTAGATCTGATGATCCAACAGCTAAAAAAAGCAATATTATAACTTCATTAAAAATAATTTGGACATTTCATCAACCACTCACATCAGTGGGGCCCCACCCCACATCCCATCCCCATGTGTCTCACGGTATCACCTCGTCTCTCTCTCTCTCTCTCTCTCTCTCTCTCACACACACACACACAAACACACACACAGATACACACACAAAGCAACAGCCCCGAGTCATATTTCGCCAGCCACTCTGCCACTGCCAGAGCCTACTGACCCACTTCTGCCGCGGCCCTTGGCACGAACAGAATCATACCACCACGCTCCAGCTCCATCGCCCTTCTTTTGCCGCCATCGCTGCCCCCGCCCAGCCGCCACAGCAGTCCATCGAACGGGCAGCATAACATCACCACTCGGTCGAACATCGAAACGCCATGTTCGAGTTGTCTGCTAGTCGGAAAAATCTGCACGCAGCTTGACAGCATGTTGCCGGGAGACAACAGTCATCGTCCTGAAATCCAGAGCTCCAAAAATGAGCTCATAATGCCGGAAAAATCTACACGCAATTTAAGGATGTTATTTCTTTTAGAATTAAATAATTTTCAAGGACCCGATTGCAATTTCAGTGGATTTTGTTTATATTTCAATTTACTACATGGGCCAAATCTGTAATATATAAGAAATACTATTTTATATACATATATATTATGCATATATATGTTGCATCACTTTTGTCACGAATCGGTTGATTCACCAACGCCTCGAACTGAACAATTAAAGAGCAAGTAAATTAGTCTCTTTTACTCAATTGTACACACTCCGATTACCAATCATGGATGAGCCTTCTCTATGGATGCAAAGAACTTCTGGACCTTCTTTCATGAATGGGCAATCCTTAGAAGTACCTGTTGATCGGCATATACAAGACCTGAAGCATAGGTTAGACTGGCGGTTTCCGCACTGGACTTTTGCTCCTCCAATGGCTAATCAATGAAATCCACGGATGAGGATATGAACAAAGCGAAGCGAAGTTCAGTCAGAGATTGAAAGAAGGGGAATGACGACCTCTTAGAAAGAACAAGAAAAGGCTGCGATGAACTGCTTGCCCTCGCATACTGCGACTGAGAGCAGAGCAAGCCCAATCGATTAGCGCAGGAGAATAACTCAGTAGAAAAAGGGAGTCCGGCTTCATACAGAGATGTTGAATTCAATAAGATGCATCCCCCGAGACCTGGTTGAGATGTCTTCAAAGAGCAACTCTTCTCAAAATCTCATAAAAGAGCAAATCCCATTCTAACTAACGATTCTTGTGGTTCCGGAGGTTCCAGCTACAGGAGAACTAGGAGAGGAAGCTGATGAGCTGCTGGGACACTAGAGTAGAGTCCTGTCCAGGTCTATTTTGATGAGCTGTTGGGACGGAGATGTGGACAGATCGAATGAGCTCTCCAACTGTTCAGTCTGCCTCCAACACTGGACTGGTATATCCTTCGGCAAGGGAGACCTCCACAGGACAGATAGAATCTGCTCGCATGCTTTGCATTCCATTCCAATGTTTCAAAAGCAGTCTACCAAGCTGTCGGAGCATATTTGTGAAGAGATGGACAAATTTGTTAGAGTGATCGTTTGGGGTTCTACACAAGACAAAAGAAAGTTGCATTGTGTGCGGTCTTGCCTCCTTTAGCTCTGGCTTTCTTCCTTCCCCTTAGGATCAAGGGACTGACCCGAGCCTAACGAACCCAATTAGCAAAAGTGGTAACCGCCTTGTGTCCATGAAGGGGGTGAAGAACGAATTGAGCTGGCTCTTGTTTGGTTCTATCTTAATATAAAGAAGAAGATCCCACGTGCTAGCCGAAAGGCCGATTAGGATTTTGCGTTCACTCAATTCTCTAAATAAAGGATCGATGTAATTGAGTCTGGATCTAAACAGACAAAACATTTTTTAAAAACATACGTGGTACAATTATATCGAATAAACCCTTCTTGAATAAATATTCAGACACTTTTTTCAAACTTTAGTGTATAAATTTTTTATTATCACGGTTATAAATTTTTTATTATAACTTATAACCCGTGTCATCTACAAGTTATTATGGTTATAATGAAAAAAATGTGTGGATTAGATGGCTATTCCACCTTGAGACACGTTGCTTCTCAAGTCTTATCCTCTTTTTTATTTATTCCATTTTATTTCTTATTATTCTTTTTATCTTTTATTCCTTTTGCTTGTAAAACAATAAGGGGTTTTATTTATTTATTATTATTATTATTATTTATTTTTTTATGTAATTGTCCCAATTTAGCTTCTCCCAGCCATGACCGTGTGTTACAAATCTTAAGGCGGTTACAATAAGCTAACATTAATAAAAATATACATTTATAACTAAAATAATATTACTACCTTTTTCAGAATTTACGAAATTGTCCCTGCTTAAATTGTAAACATGTATAACCCGCAAATAACACCTAAGGGCACAACCGTCATTGTGCCCTCACCAGTCATCCCCATTGGTCAGAAATTCCTGGTCCATTACGCTTCCACAATTTCCCTTTCACTATATATATATAATACATAAGGCATGGGGTAAACACACACACAACACAAATAAATGTCGAAAAAATATTGANAAAAAAAAAAAGAAATACTTCAAAGATGAATTCGGGCCTGACGGAGCTAGAAATGGGCGCCGTTTTGGAGCTGATTCAACTCAGCGGCGGCGGCGGCGGCTTCCCCGTCCTGTGGGTCGATTTTTCGGCGGAAAAGGATGGGTCGCGGGATAAGCGATCCGAGGAAGAGAAGAGCGCCGGCGAGTCGTTTTCGTCGTCGGCGAGCTCAATCGTTAGCGCCTCCGGTGAAGCTCTGCCCCGGAGGAGAAAGAGGTTCCGATCGCTCGCCGATATTTACCTAAAGACTCGACCTTTGGTAAAGAATCGCGTCAAGAAAAGGGCCGGGTTTTGAATTATGTTTTTTTCCTTTTAATTTTATTTTTATTTTTTTTTTTAATTGGGAGGGAAATAAATTTCGATTTCTAGAATGTTTCTCAACCATGTAAATTGTCATAATTTGTATAGACTTCATTTTGGTGCTTTGAGTAGCCTTACATATGTAATAGAAAGGTTTTGGTTTTGATATGAACATATGTACAACAACATATGCAGTAATTATATTAATTAAGTGTGTTTTAAGTACAGGCGAAGTTTTTTTATTACTCTAATTTTATTTTTTTTTTAATTGTTTGTGTGTAAATGTGTGTTCTATACTTATTTTCCCGCCATGTTCTAATTTCTTCATATAGCTAGTATATTGTGGGATAGTGGCTTTTGGTTCCCAAATGTTCTCTCAGTCTCTCTATTTTGGTACTAATAATAACACATAAGAATGTTTTGAGTCTCTATTTTTTACATATAAATAAATAAATAAATACCCTTATAATTAGGCAATAAATCATATATTATTAAGTGGCACGATTGAATGGGAGATAGAAATAGGTGATCAGTTTGATTAGCAATAGCATGTGTTTGTATATATATATATATAATATAAAAATGAAATGTATGTATGTATGTATGTGGAGTGATAACAAAAGTGAAACATTTTACAGCATATGTGTGTATATATATCATGTATCATATAAATGAAATGAATGTATGTATATGTATATATGTGTATATATGGAATGATAAAAGGCTGAAACATTTGACACTAAGCAAGTTCAAATTAATGATGAACATTATATGCATGATTAGGATTTAGGAATTTATCATTATTTATTAATTAGTATTGTTACTGAAGTTGAGCAATGCATTAATATCCAAAAAAACATATGAAAACTAATTGTTAGTTTATTAGAATAAGGAGTTCTAAATCGTCACAATAATTGATATCCCCGATTTAGACGAATTGTAGGACGCGTTAATTAAACCTCAAGCACAATCACAACAAGCACTCATGAACAAACACATTGAGTTTATTTCATCAAGGTTAATATATGTTTGCTGATAAAAGATTATCTTTTACAGTATTTATGTAAATTTCTTGAAATTTATGCGAGATAATGTAATAAATTTAATATTAAAATAAATAAACATAAATATACATAAGACGAAGTATGTATTTCTTAAATATAAAATTTTATTTTAAATAAAGACATTTTCTTAAAAAAAATATTCGTCTTTTATTTTTTGAAAAATAATTGTAGTAAAAATGCGTTTGTTTTAGCTTGCTTTTTTTTTTTTTCTTTTTCTTTTCAACTTTAAGTTTTTAATGTGGGCGTCTAAGAACTTGGATCACGGATGAATGAAGCCCAAAAAATTATATTTATGGCCCACATATAACTAAAACCATTTCTAGTTTGTCTATGTCGAGACTATAAAGTCCTGCAGCCCGTGATGTAGGGTTTTGATCTGAAGCCTCAACCTCGAGTGCAGTATTCAGGTACGCGCCGTTGGCTTTGTCTTTGCACGAAGGGATTTTTATCTNTTCTTCTTGTGTGTATTAGGTTGAAGGAGGTGGAAAATGTCGCACAGGAAGTTTGAGCACCCAAGGCACGGGTCCCTTGGTTTCCTCCCAAGGAAGAGGGCAGCTCGTCACAGGGGAAAGGGTATTCATATTCTTTTGTTCTTCATAATTGTTTCAAAATATTTTGTCTGTAACAATTGATGATATGTTTTGATTTGTGATAGCTTATTGATGTACATTTGCAATGCCTGTCTAAAAAAGCTCAAGCTTCCAGTAGCCAACTTTGAGACCAAGTTAGAGATGTTGGGTTTATTTTTATCGACGTCTCAGATGAAAATTGACATTTTTGGTGGTGTTAGAATATGGATAATAGAAATAAAGTCCAAATAGCAAGTACAATTATTTGAAATTGTGTTGTTATAAAATGGCATAACAATTACATGCAATGTTGTGTGTGTGTTGTTGCAATCCATGGGCTTTGATACTTTTATGTTTTCTTATTCTTGAATCTTCCAATTATTAATCTTGTAATATCCATCCGAAAATGCAGTGAAGGCTTTCCCTAAGGATGACCCTACCAAGCCCTGCAAATTGACTGCCTTCCTCGGCTACAAGGCTGGGATGACCCACATTGTGCGAGAAGTGGAAAAGCCCGGGTCAAGTAAGTTGTTTCAGTTCATCAGTACTTTCAGTCTCTAAATTCATATATTTTGTTTTTGTGCTGGTTGCAATAGAAATTCTTTACTATAAAAACCATGCATTTCTGTACCATTTTTTGCTTGACGAGATTCTTGAGTGTTGTATATGTTGTCAATTTCACCACCCCTTTCATTGGTAGTTCCTCAGTTGTTTGAGGCATTTCTTTTTAGATAGTTTTTACCTTTTTGAGGTGGTCCTTAAAAACTTAGTAAGTTACTTCTTAACTAATGACATTGTTGTAAGGAAATCTCTTCCCCAACTTTGTTGAAAGTAATAACAGTTCATTTCCTGTAAATTTTGCCAGATTGATTTTTATTCACCTTTCTTCAATCAGCACAAGTATTTACTCAAGATTTGCAAATTATTATGATTTCGTATTCTCTTATACTATTAGAAATGCTTAAAATAAATTTTTAATTCGAAAATTTTTGACCGACAGAACTCCACAAGAAGGAGACTTGTGAGGCAGTTACCATCATCGAGACACCACCAATGGTTGTCGTTGGTGTGGTCGGATATGTGAAGACCCCTCGTGGGCTCCGCTGCCTCAACACTGTGTGGGCCCAGCATCTGAGTGAGGAGGTGAAGAGAAGGTTCTACAAGAACTGGTGCAAGTCCAAGAAGAAGGCATTCACCAAGTACTCCAAAAGGCTCGAGACTGATGAGGGGAAGAAAGATATCCAAGCCCAACTCGACAAACTCAAAAAATATGCATCTGTTGTCCGCGTGCTTGCTCACACTCAGGCAATCCAATCCACCCATTCTCAATTATGCAATTTTGTTGGCTAATAATATTATAATAAATAAAAAAAAACCCGAAAAAGCCAAAAATTTGTTTATGTGCAGATCAGAAAAATGAAGGGACTGAAACAAAAGAAGGCCCACCTGATGGAGATTCAAGTCAACGGCGGTACCATTGCCCAGAAGGTTGACTTTGCGTATGGGTTCTTTGAGAAGCAGGTTCCAATTGACGCTGTCTTTCAGAAGGATGAGATGATTGACATCATTGGAGTTACTAAGGGTAAGGGTTACGAGGGTGTTGTTACTCGTTGGGGTGTGACCCGTCTTCCACGTAAGACTCACAGGGGTCTACGTAAGGTGGCCTGTATTGGAGCCTGGCATCCGGCTAGGGTTTCTTTCACTGTTGCTAGGGCTGGGCAGAATGGGTACCATCACCGAACTGAGATGAACAAGAAGATTTACAGGCTTGGAAAGGCCGGAAAAGAAGAACACAGTGCCAGTACTGAGTTTGACAGGTCCTGTTATAGTAGTACCTTGTGCACTTATTTTTTACATGCTTTAATATCTGCATCTACAAATTTGCTCATGTGTAACTCTAGAAAGGAA